GGGGGGGGGGGGGACGCCCAGATTGTGGGGGCTCCGTGGCTGACGTAAGGCCGTATATATAATTTTTTTTTTTTTGTTCGTTGAGGTTTGCTGGCCTGTTCGAGTGACAAACATGTCAGCGATGAGAGCTGTTGAGCGTGGGAAACGTCAACAATGGCAGGTGACAGCCAGCTGTTGGCTGGTTCTGCTTACTTGCGTCACCCCCCTGGGTGGCACTGCCGTGCTCTCATGAGCGCACTCCAGATCCCTTGTATGCATACATACGTTGATGATCAGGGGCGTGGGTGAGGTTCTCCATACCTGGCTGGATCGTGGGGGGTCCGTGGTCTTGTAAAACTCGAAGAGCGAGGAGAAGGTGGAAGAGTCCGTCACAACGTCTCGCCACGCCGACGGTACCTTTAAAAACAAAACAAAAGCGGCACACGAAAACAGAGGGGTATAATACAATACTGCAATGAGAACACGAGACATGAGGCAACAATAGAAAGGCGAACAAAAAGTTTCGTACGATTGAACACAGGGTTTTTCTTTCCTCATTTCGCCCAAGAAATTGGGGGTACAAAGAGTGCACAAATATGGACGTTAGAGGCCGTATCATTTACAGGAAATTCATGGAAATCGGAACAAACTGCTGTGCCGGAATCGGGTTGGAAAGAAACGACTTCTCGCTCCCACTAAGCGTTTCTTTCTTTCTTAGTTTGTCGACAGGAAAAAAAAAACGAAGACTCCGGGGCCGTTTGAATGGTTTCCTAGCAATGTGCACACGACATCACCGGCTGCGTTTTTCGGCGATCCCTCTCCACTACAAAGTACGAAGTATGTATCAGAAGCGACACAAAAATGATGCATTCCCGACTGCATGAGAGCGCACACTCCCTCGGCACGAGCAGCATCAGCAGCCGACTAACAATCGCCACACCAACGACAACAACATGCCAGCAGCTTCTCCCGACGACCTCCCGTACCAATCCAACCCAGCTTCGGCAGCAGGTCAGCATCACGACAGCCCCAGACCTGGCTGCCGAAAACTCCTACACTTAATTGTAGTATGAGAGTGGTTGCTGAAAACTTCGACTACAATGGTAGGACGTAGCAGAGTCACGACACTGCGAGGCACACCCTTCCGGCTACTGCACCAGCCAACACCACACCACACTATGCACTATGTACCATGCTGTCGACATCGTAACATGTAGAACCCACCATTTCGCACGAGCAGCGAACGTACATGTGTAGCTGGGCCCCCTCGCCCCCTTTCGGGACCACTAAACAAAGGAGGCGTGTGCGTGTGTTGTATCCGCCTCGGACCGAATAGTTTTGGTTAAATTTTGTTTCGTCGACCCAACGTCGCGCGCCACGCTCCAACGAAAAGAAAAACAAACGCATAATGATACGATGCAGTGTAGCAAAGCATCACATATTAGTTATCCTACGCCAGCTGAAACACATACGAAACGCTCGACCTACTGTAGTACCCACCACACCAGCAAAACACGCACAAAAATAACCGTGGTGGCGGCTCCTCTGGTCATTTTTTCGGTGCACAAGGTCTTGTTTGCGCTTTTGGCTTTCGTGACTGGCTGGCTTCCCGCCTGCCTCTTCGATACGCTGTTGTAAGCGAGAGCCCGTGTCATGTAAACAAGACAGCAATAAAAAGGAACATACACTGCTATCTAGGTTGTTTCATACTTGAAATGTATACCAAATATTTGTTGGTTTTTTCGGGGCAAAGTCAATACAACACAATCAAGACCACGACAACTACACCGGCACCACCACCACCACCCCCACCACCACATACTACAACGACAAAAGCATGAAAAAAACAGTATAACCACCCCCACCAGCACAACACCAACACAACCAAGACCGCCACCACCAAGGCAACAACACCACACCTGTATCGTCCCCACGTCCTCCGAGCTCTCGTCCGGATTGGTCCCGATGAAGTCGTACGACAAGCACCGGGTGCACAGGGACAAGGCCTGTTCCAGCATGGCCGCCTCCTGCGCCGGGCTCGCATTCACGATCTGCCTCATCTGGATCTGCTGCATTGACTTAAGCGCGATCTGCGGTACACAGCAATTAGGGAGGGTGTGTGCTCATAGCCGTGCATGCCGTATACCATTAACCTCGCGTGCCTACAAAGTCGGTTCTCACCGGACCAGGCTCTCAAATCACCAAGCGGGAAGCGTCTTGAGGTATTCGGTGAGTCGCATGGAGGGTGGAGGGGGAGGTACTCAGGCTTTGCATGCCTTAGACCACGCATCCTCGAGACGACGGAACATTGCGCCCACAGGGCCGATGGCCAATCGTTCCTTTGCCCAAGGGTAGCTCAAAGATGATTTTCCCGATGCTGTCGACATTTCTTCCCGCCTTTTCAGCCCACCCCAGCATAGCTGCCCACCCCAGCTACCGTCTTCTGGCTGCCCAGGGGGGGGGGGGGGGGGGGGGGGGG